TTTTCTTAGGAGGAAAGGCAGGCAGATAGCCATGCAAACTAAAACTAAAAGCTCACTTTGGGTAAATAGCTTCTTGCTCTTCCTTAGTTCTATTTCATTTCTTTTAAATTTTATATTTTTTTAAAAAAATAACAAAAGATTTCACACCATAAGCAAACCAAACCAGTCTTTTAACTTAACAAATCATCACAGTTAGAATAACTTATATATGTACATCTATATTAAAAACAATTAAATTAGGCTTTTAAAAATGCACAACACAACCTGGAAAATATATTTGCCTAGCATGTTCTTACTTAAGATCTATTGCTATGATGTTTCTCCCTTTTGGAATGCAAATAGGTCCCCTTTTGAAAAAGAGATCAATTCATTCATCAATTAAGAATACACCTTTCCTGTAATTTTTGGACTGAAGCAATTTATTAAAGCTCAATTTAAATACAGGGATGATGCAACTGAAAATATCCAGGTGACCTTTCAAAAACCTAAGCAGCTCAGATACATCAACATTTCTCTTCATACTTGTTGGCAAATAAACCTTTAAACACTTGGCACACAGTGTAATTTAATATATAAAACAGAATTTTAGAGGCATTAAAAAATCTGCACAGAAGACCCAAGACCATAACACATAATAAATAGTGTTGATGTGGATCACTGAAGAATAACAAATAAATACCATGAACTGTTAATCCATCATTGCAGAGTAGAAAGTAACAAGGTGCACATAAATATTTTAAATGCAATTCTTTCAGCCACAGCCTGCTTTTTATATCACTCTCACCAAAACTTTGAGCATTTTCACAGGATTTTAAGTTCAGAGACAAATAAAAAATACAAGTCTTTCATAGCAACACGTCTTTCTCTGTTTTCCCCTCACTTAAATAAGTCTACATTTCAAGTTTTTCTCCTGGCTCAGAATCAAAATTTATTTTCGAGTGCCCTTTCTGATTTGTCTGAAAGAATATTCTGTCCCCAAGCCTCTCAGCCTGTACTCCTCTCCCCATTAGCCCTTAAGAAATTCTCAGCTATTAATAGGATTAGTATTTTGTCATTCAGTACTTTTCACGTCTAATAATCAAACACTACTTTTCAACTTATTTTTCACCTTCAAAGAAGACCGTACTTTCTGAGGTCAAGGTTACCCACAAAGTTGCCACTTTTCTGAGGGAAAAAAAGACAACCACACTCCATCCCAACTCAACCTCCCTCTTCCCTCCCTCCCCACCCCAAAGACCGAGATTCCGAGCACGCCAAGGCTGAAAGTCCGGTTTGTCTCTGATACTTCTCAGTTCCTGCCTCTGCTTTGTTTGCCCTGCAAGTGTTTCGCAACTAGGAGAGGACCAAAATAAAGGGGATGAGGAGAGCAGCTTCTGCTTTCCTGTAGCTTTGGGGTCGGTCTCGAGGTTTTCGAGGGAAGGGGTGTTTAAGGCTTCTCCGTGCACTGTTTGCAGAGGCTGGATGAGACGCTGTTGAAGAGAGCGCACTTCTCGGGACAGGAAGCGGTCGGCGGCAGCCCTGCACTGAATGGGTAGCCAGCCGCCTGCTCGTAGGCTCCGAGAGCCGGGTGCAGGGCAGCGGCCGCGGCAGCAGCAGCAGCTGAGCTGGGCAGAGAGGCGGCCGAGATGGCCTGGCCTTGGTTGAGGTAGGCGACTAAGCGCCGCATCTCCTCCAGGGCCTGCGCCTGCATGAGGATGTAGTTCTTGGCAAGGAGCAGCGTGGCGATCTTGGAGAGCTTCCGCACCGAGGGGCTGTGCGCGTACGGGATGACCGCGCGCAGCTCGTCCAGCGCGTCGTTCAGGTCGTGCATTCTACGGCGCTCACGGGCGTTGATGTTGAGGCGCAGCGCCTTCTGCTCTTTGGATTTCTTGCTGCTGCCGCCGCCGCCGCCGCCGCCGCCGCCGCTTCCCCCGCCGCCTCCCGTAGGGCCCCCCGAGGGGAGGCCGGAGCTGCCGTGCAGGTGGGCGTTGGAACAGCCCTCGACCACCTTGGAGCCGCCACCCCCTGCTCCCGGGGATGCCCGCGGGTCGGGGGCCCCGGCTCGCAGCACCAGCTCGCAGCGGCCGTCGCTGTCGTCGTCGGGGCTCTGCTCGCCGCCGCTGCTCTCTGCCACGGAGCCGCGGCCAGCGCCCTCGCCGTACTTGAGGCACAGGGCAGCCCCCGCCGGCAAGCTGCCCAGGCTCGGGTCGCCCCCGACGCCCGCCGAGCCCACTAGCAGCCCGGGGACACTCACCCCACCACCGCCCGCGCCGCTTCCTCCTCCGGGCGGCGGCAGCAGGAGCCCGGCCCCTTCGGGGTCAGCGGGCTCGAAGCAGCCCAGGGGCGACGAGGACGGCGCCGGGCGTTCACGGGACGGGGGCGCCAGGGACAGGTCCATGCCTGGGGGCGTGGAGCGGAAAGCCGCCTCCAGGCGCTTGGCGGTCGAGGCGCCTAGGCTCTTGGGCAGGAAGAGGTCGTCTTCGCTCGCGGCCGCCGTGCCGAGGTGCAGCCCGCGCTCCATCGGCCCGGCCCGCCGCGAAGCCCCGGCCGGCCGCCGCTGGGCTCGGGAGTCAGGCGGCCGCACGGACGCGCGCCAGCCGGGCTCCGGAGCTGCTGCGCGCGTAGGTCCCCGCGCTGCCAGCAGCTCTGTCCCCTTCTTTCTTTTTCTTTTTCGCCTTCCCCCGCGCTCGCCGCCTCCTCTTCTTCTTTTTCTTCGTCTCCAGCCGACGGTGCTGGCTGCTGGGGCTCACCATGGGCCGCGGCCCCTCATGTTGGGAGGGTGGCTGCGGAGGGAGTGGAGCTGCTACCGCTCTGAGTCCAGCCGGGCGCCTCCTCTCTGCACCGTTTATCTTGCTTGGATTCACCTTCAAGAGATTTCCGGACCCATCAACCAGTCGCCGCCACAGACGGGGGAGTCTTTTACATCATTATCTCTGAGTAGGTTATTATGAAGAAGACTCGCCTGTTGGGACAGCGCTTTCTACCCAATCAGGTTAACGTTTTAATTAATAGGATTAAAACGGTAACAAACAATCGCAGGCGCTATCTGGCCTCGAGTCTGAATAGTTTCATTTCCCAGGTCTGAAGACAGGCAGCAGCCAGAGCTTTATAAAAGGCGCCTGCTCCATTATTCTGCCTGCCATCTGTATACACAGCTTAGCGCATATGTTTGCAAGGCGCTGGGTCCTGTTAGTAACCCAACAACTGCCTTTAGCTTGACATGTGTGGCGACTTTCACTCATCAATGAGCACACTAAAAGCCCTACTTAGAGCCCAGGATGTTCTTTGCTCCTTCAGCAAATTGTAGATTGGCGGTAGAGGCTGGGAGTTCGGTGCAAAACAGACTCCCCCCCCGCCCCCCCCCTCACTACCCCTCACTCGCCACTGCTGTTTCAGCTTGCGCAGTTACCCTCACAGGAGATTATTACATTCCGCCCTGTTCAGAACGCTTCTACATTTGGAGATGGGACCTGGGGTGGTTGGGGTGTGTGTGGGGGGGAATGGGTTAGGTCGGTCCCTCCTGGCTTGCCTAGAATTTACCCTAGATTTTCAGCTAGTATGCAAAGCAAAGCAAGAGCGAATCCAGATTTTTCTCCCACCATGACTTTCCCTCACACCGCATCCTATACGGATGAGAAAAATTAAAAATTAAAAAAAAAATTAAAGCACCCAGATGATAATCAAGTTGCATACATAGCCCGTTTGATTTAAAATTCGAAGGGAGTGGGGCGGAGAAAACGTTTGCAGAGTCCTCACGCACTGTTAAAGTGGTGGTGACAGAACGCGCTGCTTCGTGGACAGAAGAAAAAAAAAAGAAGTAGTCTCAAACTTTCATCAAGATTTAAATCCAGTTACTTCGCAAGAGTGAGCGTCAAGAGTCAGTCGAATCCTCTCACACACCAAGTGGGGGCATTCCTGCATAATTATTTAGCTGCAAATGTATCGCCGCCACTCGGAAGCCATTTGGGGACATCTGGATCCATCTGGGCTGTTCCTGGAGGGTTAGTTCGAGGCAGAATTATGAACGCAAGTGCTCTCTGAATGGAGAAGGTGCTTCTGAGTTCGTGCTTCTGAGTTCGGTCTTTCGAAGCACATGGTTTTTTAGCAACTAGTTTTCATCCTTATAAGTAAAAACAATATTCCCCAACATCTCCAGTAAGCCTTTCTTATGTGGCAGAATTACTGAGGTCTGTGCAGTCTGGGGTTTCTCTGGTTTCATTAAAAACCTTTTAATTGTGGCTTTCAGAGTTGGCCCCAGGTGTTGGACTCTTTTCATTATATTTTGCTCTAATGTGATGAAATTCTAATTCTCTCCTTACCATATGGTTAAATTTCCCCACTGAGAATTAGTTGAAAGGGGAGAAATAATCTATTAATCTCTGTAATAGATTCACAAATGAGGTTCACTGCAGAATCTGTTTTTGAATAGTAATATCAAAACAGTTGGGCACCTTATTTTATACAGGAAGCACGAGGGCAACAGGGAAATGTCTGCACTGTCACCTGGAAAGGATGGAAGCAAGCCTAGTTCTACTTTTCCAGAATGATTGCCCGAGTTGCAACTGCTAAAGGAAAGAAACCCGACCAGGTCTTCTGTTAGGGTGTTCCTTCAGCTGTATGGGAACCCGAACACTGAGAACCAGCGGACCAACTGTCTGAAGCTCTGTTGCCTGAGATCCTGGCTGTGAGCAGAAGGCCTGCTCACGTATAGCTGTGGACCAAGGCAGCTTTGGTGCAGGGCGGTGCCTCCCTTGCGGCTCTGGCTTGCAGCTTCCTCTTTCCCTCTTCTGTTCCTAGCAGCTGTTAAAGTGTCCCTTTAGGAAGCTAAAGACACACTAGTGTTATTGTTTGTCAATTACCAGTTTTGTTTTCAGAGGGATCAAAAAGAACGGTCTCTATAAACTGGCTGATAATAGGATCTTATCAGGCTACTAACAAAAGGATGGAGGCTGGCACGGCGCTGATTCTGGTCAGAGTGGCTAAAAGTCTTCCCTAAAGTCTAATTTCGTTCCTCCGGTGTGTTTTACTTGTTCTCTGGAACTTTCCTCGGGGTGCCCAGATTCCATCAGGTTCTTGAAAAGGTTTTTTAAAGAGCATAGGATGTAGTGAAGACCAGCTTATGGTAGCTCTAACTTGGCTGTCCCATGTCTTTCAGAGTGGCATCCAAGACGGGCAGGGAGAGTAAAACAAACAAACAAACAAACAAAAACCGCCAAACGCCGACAGTGGCAAATATGTCACCAGCTTTACACAGCAAGTCCCCCCATCCGGTTTTGTTTTTTTTTTTTTGTTTGTTTTTTTGTTTTTTTTTTCATAGATATTGACTATCGCATGATGAGTTTCCCCGTTTCCCTAGTCCCACCTCTGATACCCTTCAACCATTCAAAGCTCTACAAGAAAGTTTTGCTCAACTTTATTCCCCTATGAAGTAGCCACACACCTCTTCCGATATTGGAGAAAATCTCCCCAGGCTCCCGGAAGGAGGTGGCTGTTTAATAGTGGCAGAAAAGTTGTGCTGGGGAAATGGCCAGAGAATTTATGGAAGCTCTAAACGCGGGCCTTATAACCACCGTCGGGGAATGGTCTTCCAGGTTTATGCACTCGTAAACTTTTGCTGATTGCTTCTGGGAAGTTGTCAGGCACTTAACACTGCATTTATCTTACAGGGCAATGAAAACACATCTGCCCGATGTCTTGTTACCCGGTGTAATCATCACCAACCAGAGGCACTGCCTTAACTTCCTTTGACTTTGTGTGGAATCAGGCAGCAGGGGTTCTGGCCCAGGGGAGGGTGAAGTCAGCAGGGCCTCTCCAGGGCCTCTGGCTGCAGGAACTCTAGAAATTTTAAAATTTGATCCTGTAGGAAGTGTTAGAGGAAAGGCCTGCGCTGTTAGAGCAACCGGCAATTTGCAAAATTAAAGAAGTCCAAACCGGAGTTTTCATCTAAGGAGAGTTGGAGGAAGTTGGAGGATCAACCAAGGCTTGATCCCCTGACCAAGGCATAACCACCTATCTTGAAGCATCTGTAGGACCACCACCCCTCTGTTTTGCAGTTTATCCGAAGGGAGTTTTGAAAACCAGGGAACAAGGGACAGGTTCTTTAGAGAGTGCAGGCAGCATGGTGGGACAACTGGGGCCACTCAGGGAAAACAGTTCCTGAGCATCCCTGGGTTTGGACTGGTTGGCTCAGAGAAGCTCCTTGGCCAACACATCAGAAAAGGGTGCATTTTTGGCAGTGTTGGATGCCAAATCTATACACATCAGAGCATTCTCATAAAGATAAACACATTTTATTATTGTTGGATGAAACACTCCGAAAGCCACCAAAGGAGGTTAAAATATTCAGCAGCAAGCATCACTGCATTGGAATTAGTGTGTGTGTGTGTGGGGGGTAAGGGGGATGCAGATCCAAGTAATCTGTAGGTTAAACTTATATTTCTTAAAGATCATTCTAATGTTTGTTTGGATTTGGAAATAGCTCAAGCAGAATCATAATGGAACTCACTCTACCTTTAAAGTGGGATGCTAGGAATTTCACAGTGGTATTTCTGCATCTATGATAACTTTATGGCTTATATAAATTAAGCAGCCAGGAGAAGTCTGGCTGTGGCTGTCTGGGTGTTTCAATTTATCTATTTCAGAACACTTTGAAAAATAAAAAACAAAGTTGAGGGAAAAAATCATAAACTTTAGGTTGGAACCCCACTGGGGGGACAGCAAATTCTGTAAGAGCTATGGGAACAATATGACAGACTGGGGGATGCCTCCAGCCCCACCCCACCCCGCCCTTGAAAGTCCTGTCTATCAACAACCACTGAGCCCCCAGGGACCCTTTCTGACAAATTGTCCCTGTGCTGACAAGTCCAGTGATATGAAGTCAGCACCCCCATCCCTTTAGGCCAAGGCTCTCTTGGCAGTCCTCCAGCCCCAGGAAGAGACACCTTGACCTTGAAGTTGCCTTTGGTTTCTCTATCCTGCAGTGCTTGGCTCCGCTTTGTTCCTGGGTCTGCTGAAGGATCATGCCTCCCCCTGGTCTTTTGAGATCTCAATGGCACAGAGTCAAGTTGATCCAGTCCCGGGGTTAAGTTTCTTGCATCTTTTTGCCCTCAGTATTTTCTCCGCCTCTTCCAAAGCTCTTAGAAAGACTGGCTCTGCAGGTGCCATTGCACCATCCCGGTTGAAGGGAACCCGCCAGGAGGAAGCAGGGACCAGGACAGTGACCTGAGCTCGCACAGTTCTGGTAGCACTGGAAGGGACTCAACCTCCCAATTACACATGGTTCCCAATTCCCGGGATTTTCGGACCTTGGAAGAGTTGAGGTTTGTTACAAATGTCACCCACGGAGTTCTTCCTCTTAATCTAGTCTAGACAAAGGAGGTTGTTCCTCTCTAGTCTCTGGTGGTGCAGTTGTTTAAATATGAATAGATATCGGACAGAAACCCCAAGCCTTCAAAAGTGGTATTTCCAACTCAAGCCCCTTGTTGGGAGGTTCTCAATTCTGGGGACTTTCAACGTCAGGTA